ATATATTACAAGGGCAAGGAGGTTATGTTGTAAATGTCAAAAACACCGTTTAGGCCACAACTGGAGTACTGTGTGCAGTTCTGACCACCACATTATAGAAAGGACATGATTGCACGAGAGAGGGTGCAGAGGAGACTTACCAGGATGCTGCCTGGGCTGGAAGGTCTGATCTATGAGGAATGATTGGATAGGCTGGGAAAGTTTTTCTTGAGGAGCGAAGGGATTTAATTGAGGTGTACAAGATTGAGGGGCATACATAGGGTGGATATGAAGGCACCTTTTCCATTTGTGGAGGGATCAACAACCAGAGGACATTGATTTAAAGCAAAAGGTAGAAGGTTAGGAGGAGAGTTGAGGGAAATTTTTTTTCACTTAGAAGGGGTGGAAATCTTGAACTCACTGCCTGAAAGGATAGTTCAGGCAGAAACTCTCATAACATTTCAGCAATATTTAGATATTCACTTGCATTGCCACAGCCTTAAGAGCAATGGACCAAGAGCTGGAAAATGGGATCTTTGTTGACTGGTGCAGACACAATGAGCTGAATGGCCTCCTGTGCTGTAAATATCTGCATCTAATATGAAAGTTCAATTTGTATGCAGGTTCACGGATCACAAACCTTTAAAGCAATTGGAAAAAAATTGATTCCATGAGGATTGTGGAAGAAGCCATATTAGTAGTACAGATATAGTATCCCATGAGATCCCTTTGCTGCTGGGCAAGCCATCCACGAAAAAGGCACAAATGAAACTAGACAAGGAACATGATAAAACAATTCCTTTTGGAAAGTCAGCAAAATTGCAATTTATTCAATCAAGACATTATTACATCCCCTTAAAAGAACCTGGCAAAACTAATGAGAAATGCTGAAGTGTTAATGGTATCAGATACTAGAAATGAAAGAAAGCGAACGCTCGTAAAGCGATAGTAAGAACTGCCGATGCTGGAGTCAGAGATAACACAGTGTGGAGCTGGAGGAACACAGCAGGTCAGGCAGCATCAGAGGAGCAGGAAAGTTGACGTTTGGGTCCTGACCCGAAACATCAACTTTCCTGCTACTCTGATGCTGCCTGGCCTGCTGTGTTTCTCCAGCTCTACACTGTGTTACATCAAGTGCTCTTAAAAGTTATTTTGACAATTTGCTGAACCCTCTTGTCACAGATTAAAACTCCTGCTAAAGGACAAACAGAGAGACAGATGCAGGTAATAGTTCCTTGAAAGTGATGTCACAGGTGGACAGGGTGGTGAAGAAGGCATTTGGCACGCTTGCCTTCATTGGTCACAGCATTTAGTACAGGAGTTGGGATGTCATGTTACAGCTGCACAAGACATTGGTAAGGCCACATTTAGGGTACTGCAGACAATTCTGGTCACCCTGCTATAGGAAGGATGTTATTAAACTGGAAAGGGTACAAAAAGGATTTACAAGGATGTTCCCAAGACTGGAATATTTAGGCTGGGACTTTTTTCACTGGAGCGTAGGAGGCTGAGGGGTGACCTTTTAGAGGTTTATAAAATCATGAGGGCATAGATAAGATGAATAGCTAACGTCTTTCCCCCAGGGTAGGGGGGTCCAAAACTAGAGGACATAGGTTTAAGGTGAGAAGGGAAAGATTTAAAAGGGACCTGAGGGGCACCTTCTTCATACAGAGGGTGGTGCATGTATGGAACGAGCTGCCAGAGGAGGTGGTAGAGGCTGGTACAATTATAACATTTAAAAGACATTTGGACAAGTACATGGATTGGAAAGGTTTAGAGGAATATGGGCCAAATGCAGGCAACTGGGAAAAGTTCAGTTTAGGATATTTGGGCCAAAGGGCCTGCTTCTGTACTGTGTGACTCCATGCAGGATTGGTTGATGATGAGTACAGAGTTTACTGAAGAGGTGAATTTTTGGAATTCTGTACTTCTGAGAGCTGTAGGAATTTATAAAATGCCACAGTGATTGCCTACAAATTGTGCACTTTTTGAACAAAACAGAATATATCTGCAGTTACAAATCTGCAAATGCAAATTCACCCCATAGATTTATATATGTGTGCGTGTTTATGTGTGAGAGAGGGAGAAATAGAGTGTGCGCATGTGAGGGAGAGAGTGTTTGTGTGTGCATGTGCTTGAGAGAGTGTGAGTGTGAGAGTGAGAGAGAGCGTGTGTATGAGAGAGGGTCTGTGAGTGTGTATGTGTGTGTGTGTTTGTGAGAGAGAGTATACAGTGTGGTGGGGTCACCTGTAGTGCGACATGAACCCAAGATCCTGGTTGAGGCCATCCTCATGGGTACTAAACCTGGCTATCAGCCTCTGCTTGGCAACTCTGCGTTGTTGTGCTGCCCGAAGTCCGCCTTGGAGGACGTTTACTCGAAGATCTGAGGCTGAATGTCCTTGACTGCTGAAGTGTTCCCCAACTGGGAGGGAATATCCCTGTCTAGCGATTGTTGCGTAGTGTCCATTCATCCGTTGTCATAGCGTCTGCATGGTTTCGCCAATATACCATGCCTTGGGGAATCCTTGCCTGCAGTGTATGAGATAGATAATGTTGGCCAAATCACATGAGTATCTGGTGTGTGTGTGGTGCGTGGTGTTCCCACATGTGATGGTAGTACTCATGTCAATGATGTCGCAGAGGTTGTCATAGCAAGGTTGCATGGTGTTGTGGTCGATGCTGTCCTGAAGGCTGGGTAGTTTGCTGTGAACAATGGTCTGTTTAAGGTTTGGCAGTTGTTTGAAGGCGAGAAGTGGAGGAATGGGGATGATCTTCGCTAGGTGCTCGTTGTCATCGATAATGTGTTGAAGGCTGCGAAGAACGTGGTGTAATTTCTCTGCTCCCGGGAAGTACTGGACGATGAAGCGTACTCTATCGGTTGTATCCCTGTCTGTCTTCTGAGGTAATCATTACGGTTTTTTACTGTGGCATGTTGGAACTGGCAATCGATGAGTTGAGCATCGTGTCCTGTTTTAATGAGGGTGTCCTTCAACACCTTCAGGTGTCCTTCGTGTTCCTCCTCATCCGAACAGATCCTGTGTATGTGTAGGGCTTGTCCATAGGGGATGGCTTTTTTAATATGTTTAGGGTGGAAGCTAGAGAAATGTAGCATTGTGAGGTTATCTGTAGATGTGCAGTAGAGTGAGGTGTTGTCATATACATCCTTGACGGAGATGTGTGTGTCCAAGAATGAGACTGATTCTAAAGGGTAGTCCATGGTAAGTCTGATGGTGGGATGAAATTTGTTGATATCACTATGTAGTTGTTTCAGTGATTCCTTGCCATGAGTCCAAAGAAAAAAAATGTCGTCAGTGTATCTGGTGTATAACATTGGTTGGAGGTCCTGTGCAGCAAAGAAGTCTTGTTTGAACTTGTGCATGAAAATGTTGGCATATTGGGGAGCAAATCTGGTTCCTATGGTTGTTCCGTGTGTCTGGTTGAAGAACTGGCTGTCGAAGGTGAATACGTTGTGGTTGAGGATGAAGCAGATGAGTTCAGCCTCAGATCTTCAGGAAAATGTCCTTCAAGGTGGACTTTGGGATACACAACAACAGAGTCGCCGAGCAGAGGCTGAAAGCCAAATTCAGTACCCATGAGGACGGCCTCAACTGGGATCTTGGGTTCATGTCGCACTACAGGTGACCCCACCAGACTATACACTCTCACACGTGCAAACATATGCACACACTGTCTCACGCAAACACACACACACACACACACATACTCACACAGACCCTCTCTCATACACACAGTCTCTCTCACAGACACACTCACATGCACATAGACACACACTTTCTCCCTCTCCCTCATACTCACACACATATAAATCTATGGGGTGAATTTGCATTTGCAGATTTGTAATTGCAGATACATTCTATTTTGTTCAAAAAGCACACAGTTTGTAAACAGTCAATGTGGCATTTTGTAATAAAACCAGTCTGACTCCAATGTGATACACAGCCAGGTTCTAAACAAGGCCTCACACCTAAAATGCATTGTCTGACCTGAGATGTCACCTCTGGTATACTGATAAACCTTTAGTTATCCTGGGGCTGTGACTTTAAAGAAATTCTGGGATTTGCAATATTAATCCTTTCTAACTGATTAAAGATTTAACAACCATCTTAGGTTTGTTCAACACATTCACATCAGTTATATGACCCTTTGATCTTTTGCTTATAAATTCTGTGTCTGATGCCACATCTCTCACTAACACCTGAAGGAGTGAGACTCCAAAAGCTTGTGTCTTCAAGTAAACCTGTTGGACCATAACCTGGTGTCTGTGATTTTTGGCCTTGTCCACCCCAGTCCAACACTGGCACCTCCACATCATGGTTTCAACTGAGGGGAACAGCTGCTTCCTTTCCATCCTATCAACGCTCCTCATAATCTTCTACACCACTATCAGGCCTGCCCTCAGCCTTCTCTCCTCTACAGATAGTAACCCGAGCTTATCCAGCCTCTACTCATAGATGAAATTCTCCATCCCAGGTAACATCCTGGTGAGTGAAAAGTTTTTTTAAGTCACATTTGATTCTTTTACCAATTTCCTGATAAATGCTTCCTCTGGTTCTGGATTCCTCTATCTATGGGAACAGTTTCTCCTTATCTCTGTCCAGAGGCCTTTTGATTTTGAACCACATCCTCTCCATTAGTTCAGTTATTCCTCCTCAAAATGTGGAACAATCCAACGGCTTTGCGAAGAGACAACACATAACACTTATTTTTCTTGGTTTTTTTTAAAGCGCAGCTTTGCTGGTGAAATCCAGCAGGTGGTGTAAACATTGAAACCCATATGTCTCCTAATCCTATAGATGGTGTTGTTCAAAAAGACGACACATTCACAAAACCAATTGTTCTCTGGCGCCAAAGAGCAAGGACGCTATCGGCACTCCCTCGCCCCCTACAGAGAAGGAGGACCAGACGGATGACTCGCAAGTATGACTTCAGCAGCAGCTCTTACGCTCTGAGGTCATCCGCTTGTGCGTGGCTTAAAATCTCGAGGCAGTCCGTCAGTCTGGGAAATTGGAACTGGGCAATAGGGGCAGGTGCGTTGGCAAGGCGGAGCGGGGGAAAAAAAAAGCTTTCTTCTTTCTGGGATATAGACATTCGTTGACATTTGAGAAACCGTCAGGGGGGAAGAACATCTCAGTTGGTGAGCAGAAAAAATGTGGCTAAAAACACGATGTTGGATTTTTTTTCTCTCTGGAAAAGTTATTGAATAGATCGAGAACCGTCCTCTCGAGCTTGCGGTCAGAAGAAAATTCTGGATGCGTCTCAAGGACTTTAGTCTATTCAGAGTCATTTGAAAAAAAACGCCCGGGTGTTTGTGATTTAATCTCCTGATGTATTGCTTTTTTTTCCCCCTCTCTAGTTCTGCAGATTTGTGCAAACGCATCCACCTGTTAAGGTGAGTTTTTCACCCATTTAAATGAGTTTGCAAGGTTGAATTTGATCTTTTTCATTGAGATTTCTTTTGGGATATTAACTCAAAGATAGTTTCAAAAACTTGTGAATAATTCTGAAGGGAATTTTCAAAAACAAGTGATTTAATACGTAAGGTGCGTTTTTCATTGTGTTGTACCTATCAAAAAATGAAATCTTAGTTACACTTTAAATTGTACTTTTCTGTTCTTAAATATCCAGATTCACATTTCCCAACCTTCTCTGTGAGTAGACGATCTGGTGGATTGTACAGTAGGTTGTGACAGCAATTATTTGTAGAAAGATATTGAAGTGAATTGTCAGCTCTGAATTAAATATTCGTTCAGTTAAAATATTTAAATATTTCTAATGTACTCTAGTTTATATATTTTAATTAATGCAACAATGGGAGTTGAAATCAAATTCAGAAGTTACTTCACTATTTGTTTACTGGCTCTAATAGACTTTACTCAAGATTGTATTTTGCTCTAGGTATTTCAATAAAGATTTAATGTGCTTTCCATTTTATAAATTTCATTAATTTTGCCTTGTGGTGAGTTCTACAGGGTATAAAAATTTGGCTTAACAATTTGGAAATGACTTGTTTTTTAACATGTAAACACAAATAGTTATTTCTAATTGTTTCATATGACCATCTCTTTAAAAACTTGTAGATACTGTGGAGCTTGAATACTTTTCTATTATTTACTGCATGTACATGGTGGGGGTGGTTGGTGAAGAACTATTGTGAAAATCCTGATTAGTTGTTTTAGATTTTTAGTAATAATTGGCTCGGAGGAGTTACAGAATCTGGTGGTGTAATGGATTAACACCAATAGCTGAAGGTGTTTATTTTTCCCCAGCTGTTCTTGATTCAACTTCAGAACACTCCAAGCTAGTTTCCACAAGTAATGCCACCAGCACTTGCTGTTTAAAAATAATGCATTGTACTTTTATAATAAGAAAAAAAAATCTGATGGGGCCCGAATTAACATGTTGGCTGGAAATGGCATCCACTTTTCCTGGCGAATTGGTTTCTAATGAATTGCGTGCTTAAGGATGCATTGTGCTGGAGTTTGATTTACTGTGTGATGCCAAGTATGGTTTCAACTTAACAAAAAGGCTTACTTTTAGATTCTGCTCATCTGACCAACGTTGTAACTATCTTGTGCCACTGGGTTCAAGCCTCACTCCCCACTGACACTGGAGGGAGCACTGCACTCTTTGGAGTTATGATGTATTAAACTGAGACCCTAGCTACCTGTTCAGATGGAAGCGCAAACTAAGCATGGTACTTTACTCAAGGGCATCTTAATGTCCTGGTGTAAGAGTGGCTTATTTTATTAATACCACAAACTGAGATGGGGGAGGCAATGGCCAAGGAGTGTTATCGCTGGGCTCAGAGACCCAGGTAATGTTCTGGGGATCCAGGTTCGAATCCTGCCGTGGCAGATGGTGGAATTTGAATTCAGTAAAAGTCTGGAATTAAGAATCTAATGATGACCTTGAATCCATTTTCAAAAAAAAATAATCTGGTTCACTAATATCCTTTAGGGGAGGAAAATGCCATCCTTACCTGGTCTGGTCTACATGTGACTCCAGACTCCCAGCAATGTGGTTGACTCTGAACTGCCCTCCTAGGCAATTAGGGTTGGGCCTAACAGTCTAACGAGTGATGCCCTTGTTCTGTGAATGTGTAAAATAAAATTAGTCTGATGGTTCATTTGCTGTCTGTGGGACCTTGCTATGTATATATTGACAGCTATATTTGCTTGCTTAAATGACTGCGCTTCAAAATACTTAATTGGTTCTAAGGTGCTCCATGATGTCCAGAGGACATGTGGTACAATTTTCATGAAAGTTGGTCATTCTTTGGGTTAGAGAAGAGGAGGTGGACAGGAGGGTGTTAGTACTGTTTCTCCTGCTGATCCTTGCTGTAAAGCCCACATGTGGCTCTCTGGGCGTGTAACTACATTTAGCTAAATTAATCTTTCCCTTCCCTGGTTGAATTGCCTACTGATTCATCATTTAAGCTGGGATGAGAAAGTACAGTGTGATTATATTATCTGTTAGGAGAGGGAGAAATTTGCTGTCTTCACTTATAATTTTGTTTTTATTCCTAAAGTTTTGAGTAGTATGACAACACAGCAAGTTGTTCCAAAATAGTTGTTCCTGCACACTTGGAAGGTCTGATTTGTTGATCTGCCAAAGATTGTTTCATAGTGTTGAAAAGTTGCTTTTGTTCAAGTTCATCAACAGCTGCTGTTCTCATTTTTTCCAGTTATGCAAAAATGCTGCAAAACCAGCTCTTTATTTTCTTTTCAAAAGAATTTTTCAGCAAACTTGTCTTGAACCTGTTGTGCAATGACACACCTTTCCAAATTTCATCCTGAACTGGCTGTACGTGAGAATAATTTTCTTGGGCTGTTTGTGAGTCGTCAATGAAATATGAGGTTTTTTTTTTTCATTTTTGGCACACAGATTGTCTTACAGCCTGACTTGGAAACCAGACTAGGATGATGGAAGCAACTTAACTGAAATCACTACGTTCTTCTTGCCTTCTTATGTTCCCAAATTTTATTTTTGAGAAATCTCTTTGATATAGTGCTGGAATTGTTCCATAATTAATTTGGATCAGTGTCCTTCATTATTGGTAATGCGTTTGTCTTGTGGGATTATGTCAAGTGTTCAGCTTAACTTGAGGCTCTATCTGCCTGTTTCAGTGGTTGTACGTGATCTCGCAGCCCTTTAGAAAAAAGGCAGAGAAGTTTCCCTTGTGTCTGGCCAACATATCTCCCTGCAGTAACACGAACAACGATGCTATTTGTGCGACCTTGCTCATTGTAAAATGACTGTCTGCATAGCAACATAACTACACTTCAAAAGTATTTCGCTGGTTCTGAAGCACTTTGGGACATTTTAAGCATATGAAAGGCTCAATATATGTGCACTGTTTCCCTGAGTATTTTGAGGCTTCCATTCATACTTTGTACATTCCTTCTTTCAAACTTTAGTCTGAGTCTCCATGAGCAATGCCATAAGACACCTGGCTAATGTAAAGTTCTGTGACAGATGTAACAAATAACCTGATCAATGTCAATAATACTGCAATGTGTGTTCTACTCTCCTTTTGTCCCTCCCTTTTGTAGTGAAATTGCTAGAGGCCTTGCATTGTCCCTTCAGTGGTGGTGCCAACTCAAACCTATAGGTTTGATGCTGTTTGAAATTTCCTTAAGGTCCTGGTAACATGGAACCCACTTTTTTTTTTCCCCCTATTGAGGCGGCATGAAAACAAAATGTATTTGCTTTCTTTACTCATCAGCAATAAATGTTTCAGTCCAATAACCTTTGGTCAGTATGGGAGATGTTACATGTTCAATAGGTTTAAGCAAGTGAAAGGATGGAGGGTAGGAAAGAATAGCTGGAACATTCCAGAAGGCTGAGGACAGAGATCTGCATGAAAGCAAGATGGAGAATTTAAATGGTCACCGATTGGAAGCTCTGAGTCACGTTTATGTTTATCTGAAAGATGGTGTTCTGTTAATCCGTCACTCAATCAGCATTTGGTATCCTCAATGTAGAGAAGCCTGCATTGTGAACAGTGAATACAGCATACTAAATTGTAAGTGATACACACAAATCACTTTCACTCGGCAAGTGTGTTTGGGCCTTTGCGCAGGTAAAAGAGATGAAAGTGAACTGAAATGTTAACTCTCGCAGCATCTATGGTGAGAGAATGAGAGAGATCTGAGTATTTTCATCAATTTCTGCTGTTTAAATCTGATTTTCTAGCATCTGTAGCACTTTAGTCAAGGAACCCATTCCATTTCCACAAAAACAACTCCAGCATCTGAGTGCACCTGAAATTCCAAATACGTAGTGCATGATTATTATGACAACCTTTTTTGACCCAGATGCAGTACAATAAAAGAAATTTGTAATTTATCTAAAATGTCTGTGAATTTGCCCTTTTTTTGTTTAAAGAATTGTTTGTTTGTAAAGAGCACTTAAGTGTTTGCAACAATTGTTGTTTTCTTGCATAGTTATTGACCAGGTGACCTTTAACCTGGAAGTAGTACCAACACATGCATGAAGTTTAAGAACTGAAGCTGAGTGGTTGGCAGACACAGATAAGCTAGAGACAAAAGGCAATTAGCTTATTGATGCAGACACAGGGGAATACAGACTCCATTCAAAATTGCAGCAAAAAGATTGTTGATAGAATCTTTTTCGGAAGTGATTTGTAAGAGCAGGCTAACAACTGAATCCTTAAAAAAAAAGGCATGACTCCCACATATGTGAAAGAGCTGAATGTTTGTTTATCTCTGAAGTGGCCCAATTGTGAATCGGAATGTTATTAGTTGGTCTCCAGAAACCATCCAAACTGTTGTGACCAGAAGGTGAAAGGATTTGTAGAAGTATGCCTTGCTAATAATGACCCTATCCATGAAACTCTGAGGCACAAATTATTGTTGGATAGACTCCTGACATATCCTAAGTAAATAAAGAATGGTGTATTGTGAAATGATGTAGTTATGAGGTGTCATGTGTTTGGGGAATCATGCAAATGCTTGTGTGAAATGTATCGTTGTGTCAACTACTTAAATTGAAACTTCCCTTTTTATTTAAGTGTTTTTTTGCCTGTTCTGTTTAATTTTACTTTGATTCCAGCTCATGTCAGGTACAAGTTACAAAAAGTGAAAACTTGTAATTTCTTTTTAGGGAGTCATTTGGCTTATGGGAATTTGTTTTGTATGGGATCTTTTAAGTTTCAAATGCTATGTTGGGAATTTTTCAATGATGGTCAGTACTGGGGGAAAAAAGCTGCTACTGTAATCTTTCTGAATCACTTCATATTACAAAATGTAAGATTATAGGAGGGAACTGAGGGTTCAAAAGGTGAATCCTCCATGGTTATTTTATTGAAGGACACTTCTGTGTCTGTCTCCCTCCATGTGATTCTCTTGCTCTGTATCTGTGTCTTTC